GGAAACCATGGTCCCCACAGCCCTCAGCCCAGTAGTTCGATCCCTCAGGGAGTTTGGATGTGTCTATGGAGCTTCCATGACCTTGCCTTGGTCAGGTTGTGCTGGCTTCCCTTGTACTGTGTACTGCCTTACCCTTCACCAAAGTTACCACTTCTCCATTGTCTAGTTAGTGTTTTTCCATCCCCACTGCTCCCCTCCCTCGTAACCATCAAAGATGGTTTGTTTTTGTGTGTAAACCTTTTCATGAGTTTTTATAATAGTGGTCTCATACAATATTTGCACTTCTGTGATTGACTTATTTCAATCTGTATATTGCCCTCCAGATTCATCCACACTGTGAGATGTTTCGCAGATTCATCATTGTTCTTTATCGTTGCATAGTATTCCACTGTTTGTACGTTGTTTTGTTCACTTTTTACCCCCCATGTCTAGTGCAGTGCCTGGAACATAGTGGGTGGTAAATATTTATTGTGTGTATGAGGAGATAAATGTCTCCATCATTCCAGCCAGATCAAATGGCTGGTCACTCTTCAGACACTCCCTCTTCTGAGAACCTCAGCTTTGTCTAGCTCAGTCATTTTCAGCCAAAGGTGATTTAGCACACCCCCTCCGCCAGGGACCTTTGTTAGTGTCTGGGGACATTATTGGTTGTCACAAGTGGAGGGGGGAAGATGCTATTGGCATCTAACGGGTAGAGGCCAGGGGTGCTGCTAAGCATCTACAATGAATAGGATAGCCCCTGGCAACAAAGAATCATTCAGCCCAAAATGTCAGTAGCATCAAAGTTGAGACACTTTGGTCTAGCTAATTCTACCTGCTCCTTCAAGCCCTGTGTGGGCCTTGCCCCTTTTAGAAAGCTTGAGTGAGACCTCCTCCACTGGGTCCTCAAACCTCCTGTGATTTACCCCTTTGCCTTGCAATGGCTTGTTCTAGTTGTCTCTCACTGGAACCCACCGAGTGCAGTGTGTCTGACGCGGGGCAGACCCCCGCAATGTGTCTGACATGCGGTGGACCTCCACCTAGTGCCGTGTGTCTGACACGTGGAGGACCCCCGAGTGCAGTGTGTCTGACGCAGGGCAGACCCCCACCGAGTGCAATGTGTCTGACATG